TTCGCAGAGTTGGAAGGATCTTGGAGGCTGCTAGTACAAGCTATACCTGCACAAAAATCCCGTTTACAACATCGCCAATAAGTGGTCATCCATTATTCTCTTGAAATCCTCAGATAACTAAAAACCTGGTATTTCTAGGAGCTACCCAGTGTCAAGCAGAACAAATCCAAACCTTTTTTCATGTAACAACCTTTAAAATAGATAACATGGAATATAAAGAAAAGAAGCCTGATGATAGTCTCACATGTACTCTAGACTTGGAGAGAGTGGGTTTCTGTGAGTTAAAAGGAAAAAATAGGATTCTGTGGTTTAGGATCCTACAGAGAAAATCAGCTCAAACAGGATGAGGTGCTCCAGACAATGAAATTCTGACAGCATAGATTATGTGAGAACTAAAAGGAGAAATTAGCTATAGTCTCTTCTGTGACCTAGCCAAACTGGTCTTTCTAGTCCTCACTCACTCATGACACACACCCCACCCTCTGTCTCCCTACACTGGCTGTTTCTGTGCTTGAAATGTGCTGCCTTCCTCACTCAATGTCATAGAGTCTCTCTTCCTTTATGATGTAACACAGGCGTCATCTTCTACATGAAGATTGCCTGACTCCTCCTGTACTGCTAGTGACCTCCCTCCCAAACTGCCTTGTATTTAACTACTCTGTCACTTAGATCCAGTCTAGGTATACTTTGTGCTGCAGCCAACTTGGACAGTTAGTCCTCAGTTGATGAACATTTATTAAATGTGTTAAGGATAAACATTTAAATGTGCTAAGGGCTAGGAATACCAAAAAGAAAAAGTCCCTGACCTCAGGGAGCTAACAATCTGATGGAGAAAGACAACACACAAAAGGAAGCTGAAAGGCAGGGGGCCTTGAGGAGTGCAGTTCTGGGGGAAGGGAAAATAAAGGATGGCAGCCTAGGTGCCTTGCTTAAATGGAGGTTCGGGAAGGAGCCATTCAATCAGAGGGAGGATTCCATGGGGCTAGGGCTTCTGAGAAGGTATGAGTTTCCTGAGAGAAGTCATCTTGCAGGATGATGAGGTTCCTGGAGATGATGTCATAAGTCTAGAGGAGAGTGACTGGGGCAGGAATAAAGAGAAGAGGTTCTTTTGCCAACAGACAGACTGTTCTAACCTATCATTTCTTGGTATCATTTTTCCCTATGCCTGAATTGAATAAGGTCCAGCTCTCCAAAGATAAATGAATAAAAAAGCATTTATCTAGCACTTAACTCTGGGCAAAGCTCTGTTCTGTGTTCTGGGAATATACATGCAAAAATGGGAGGAGATATATCAACCTCATCCATGAATTGGTAGATTTTTTTGATGATGAAGGTAGAGTGGGACAGGGAAGAAAGGAACATGTGATGAGGCAATACAAGAAGAGGCTTGAGAGGAAGCCATGAGTGAGACAAGAAGCCCTTTTCCTGAAGCATGGTAGTCTCATAAACAGTCACACTCAGGAGGGAGGCCTGGGGTGGAAAGGAGGATGGGAAGACTATGGAGGAAATAGTGGGAGAATCAGGACGTGCCCCTGACCCTAAGATTTCTGACAGTACATTATGATATGTTACAGAATTCGATGTTGATGGGAACAGTATATAGTATAGATTTGGACTAGTCTTTCCTTCAGTGGGCTGAGACCTGAACATAGATTTTGAATAGGGGAGTAGATTGTGGGTAATGGGAACATTTCAAGGGGCTAGAATTAAAAAATGTATATATATTCTGAACTTAAACACCCCCCAAAACTCCTGTGTGCACGGCAGAATGCACAGTTATGGAATCATAAACGTCCACTTCATGCCACCCATTTTTTATTTTAATAATATATAATAAATTCTCCTACTTGTCTGTGCTTCCTTTTGAATTTCCTTCTTTCTATTGTGTATGTATTCTTTAAAGTGTTATGGTGTCTTCTTTTTGACATTGCTAACCTCTCCACTCACTTAACAAAGAGAAAGAAAGGAAAGGGGAAGAACTTCTTGTAACAAATAAGCAAAGTCAAACAAAATAAATCCACAAATTAGCTGTGTCTCAAAAGGTGCATTTCTGCACCTTGCGTTTGGCACTGCTGCCAAGAGAGGAGTATCTTGCCTTATTATGGGCCCTTTGGAGTCGTCGTTTTTTTTCTTGTTCTTTCTTTCTTTTTTGGGGGGGGTTGGTATAAATTATCCTTCTGGTTCTGTTCTTTTCACTATCAGTTTTTACTACCTAGGGTTCTCTGAAATTTTCTCTTTCATCATTTTTTACAGCACAACAAAATTGCATTACATTCATGTAACACAATTTGACCAGCCATTCCCCAGTTGTCTAAGAGGCCCTCCAAGGTGCTCCCTTAGATGCTAGTTCCCTCCTTTACAGACTAACTGGACTGAAGCAGAAGAACAGGTTTACATAGAGTGGAGAGGTCATAGGATCATAGATTTAGAGCTAGAAGGAACCTCAGGGGTCCTCTGGTCCAACCTTTGCATTTTGCAGATGAGGAAACTGAGGCCCAGGGAGGTTAAATAACTCACCTAAGTTCATACTAGTAGTGAGTCAGAGATGGAATTTGAATTGGGATCTTTTAACTCTAAATCTTGAGGTTTATGTTGTGCCTCGTCCCCCATTGCCTCAGTTTAACCAAATCATTTTTATATGGTGAAGTGCTTTTGAAGTACTAGTATTTTGTAAATTTCCTGAGAGAGTTATATTTCATCCCCAACCCCAAAGAACTAAATGGAATTGAGGGTTTGGGGGCAGGGGATGTGGGGAGGGGAATCAGTTGCTCGGAAGGCTCATACATTCCCTATCAGGGAATTTAAAAATAAGTGACCAGAGTCTTGAATATGTAAAAAAGCTGAATAAGAAATTAGAAAAGAATCAAAAGAATTTTGAAAATTATTGAAAAGTACAACAGAATTTCTCCCACCAAACTAGCACCACTTCGTCGTTCCTAAATGATTTGTAATAATACAAACAACAACCGAGAACTCCCTCTTCTCTACTCTTCCTCATCTCCTATCATTCAGATGCCTTCTGCCACTCTGTCTTCCCTCACCCCTGTCTCACTTGATGAAGTGGCCTTCCAAGGCTAAAAACTCTTCTACTTGTTCAAGTAATCCCATTCTATCCCTTCTCCTCCAACAGATTGCCCTCTCTGGTCATCCTCACTCTGTCACTTATTTTCAATCTGCCTCTCTCCCTATTACCTCATTCCTCTTATGTACAAACATGCCCATGTCTCCCCTTTCTTGGATAAAAAAAAACAACCCTCATTTGATCCTTCCATCCCTACTAGCTATAGTGCTATATTTCTTCTGCCTTTTGGAGCTAAACTCAAAAAAGGCTATCTATGATAAATGCTTCTGCTTTCCCTCCTCTTGCATTTCTTCACCTCTTAGAATCTGGCCTCTAACTTTATCGTTACACCAAAACTGCTCCCTCCAAAGTTATCTTTTAGTTGCCAAATCCAGTGGCCTTTTCTTGCTCCTCTCCTTGACCTTGACACTGTTGACCACTCTCTCTCCTTGATACACCCTTTTCCCTAGGTTTTCAGGACATACTTTCTCCTGGTTTTCCACTTACCTATCAGACACCCCTTTCCTGTCTCCTTTATTGGATTTTCCTCCAGAACATGCCTTGTAACCATAAGTGTCCCTCAGAGTTCTGTCCTGGGCCCTTTTCTCTTTTGTCTTTATACTACTTCACTTGGTGATGTCATAAGCTCCCGTAGATTTAATTACCATCTGTATGTTAAAGATTCTCAAATCTATCTATCCTACCCCAGTCTCTCTGCTGACTTACAATCTTATCTTCAACTGCCTTTTAGGCCTCTCAAACTGGGTGTCTAGTAAACTCAATCTTAAACTCAATGTATCCAAAGCAAGTCATTATCTTTCCCCTAAACCCTCCCTCTCCCCCCAACACACACACCTTCCCTATTATGGAGAGGGCAACACCATCCTAGTTCCTTAGGCTTACAACCTAGGAATTATTCCTCATTATCTCTCACCTTCCCCACACCCTCTATATCTGTTGCTAAGGCCTGTTGATTGTATCTTTGCAGCATTTCTTGAATATGCCTCCCTTCCTCTGACACTACTCTATGCAGGCTCTCTTCACCTCACACCTGGATTATTGCAGTGATCTGCCTGTGGGTCTATCTGCTTCAAGTCTCTTCCCATTCAGCCAGTAAAGAGATTTGCCTAAAATGTAGGGCCAATCATGTCTCTCTCTCTCACACATGCATACACACCCACACACCCCTCAATAAATTCCAGTGGTCTCCTTTTGCCTCCAAGAGCTAATACAAAATCCTCTGTTTGGCATTCAGAACCCTTTATAACTGAGCCCCTTCCTACCTTTCTAGTCTTTTTTTCACCTTATTCCCTCACATGTCCTCTTCCATCCAGTGACATTGACTCCTGGCTGTTCAAGACTCTTGGCTACAGCTATTATCTTTTGTCCACCATTCTTGGGATACTTCCTTTCCTCCGTTTCAATAACTGACCTCCCTGACTTCTTTTAAGACCCAACTAAAATCACTCCTTCTACAGAGCTGTCACCAACCCCTCTTAATTTCAAGATCTTTTCTTTATTATTATTTCCTGTTTATCCTGTGCATAGCTTGGTTTGTATTTATTTGTTTGCATTTTTTCTCTCCCAATGTATTGAAAGTTCCTTGAAGGCAGGTACTGTCTTCTTCCTCCTTTTTGTGTCTCCAGTGTTTAGCATAGTGCCTGGGAAAATAGTAGACACTTAATAAGTGTCTATTGATTAACTTTGTGATCTGCTTTTTAAAAAAACTTAATTTTTCTGAACATGAGTTTGTCCTTAAATTAGAAGATTCAACTAGATGACCTGTAAGATACCTTTCACTTTAAAATTCAATTTTTAGAACTGATTGAAGCCTTAAATATATTCTAGATGAAGAAGTTGAGGTCCAGAGAGTCTGTGACTAAGACTTTCCACCTTTGTGGGTCTTTTTAAAGTATAATAATTTGCTGGTTTTCCACAGGAGAAGTTGGAAGAGTGCATAGAGCAATTAAAAGCAGAAAGGATTATGAGAGTCAAGGCTGACAAACGAGTAACTGAGGTAAAATTAAAATTAATTTGTGTTTTTGTGACATATTTGAGCTGAGATGTTTAGGCTTTCGCATGAAGTCTAAATTAAAAAGTACATTTGAAAATTGGTCACTCTCTTAACATAAATGTTGCATTCATGTACATATCCCATTATTTAGTCTAAAATATAAGAGTAAAAAGCTTAGTTATTTCTGTATTTTATTTGGCTTTGTTTACTCATTAAGCACCAATTTGGTGTACAGTAATATATGGAGAATTATAGTAGGTGCAAAAGAAATTTAAGACATAAGCAATCTTGAGGTGCTTGCAATTTGCATAGGAAGGTGTGGGACCACTTAGAGTATTAAAGCAAGTCTAAAATAATAAAGAGGAGATGGTATTTATAAAGTATCTACAGAATCCAGAATCAAAGCAGAAAAGGTAATATGAGCCAGGGCATAGATGAAAGAATGAACACAGCAGTCTGGTGGGAGAGCATGGAGGCAGAAGCAGCATAGTGTGTTGGTGGCGGGATTGGCAGGCTGATGGAGAACCTTGAAGACAGGGCCAAAAAGTTGGCACTGAATTCAACAAGCACCAGAGAGAAACTTTAGTAATTAATCCATTGGTTACCTGTAAGGACATTTTGGAAACACACATGAACACATTACTTGTTTTTCCCTCAACTTCTTGTGTTAGTTTGAACTTCTGTATATTTTTCCTGAAATCAGACTTTTAATTTTATTTCCTAATTAATGAACTGTTTTAGCCATTTTTCGAACAAAGTAAAGTAAGCATTTTCTGGAAACCTGGTATGAATTGAACTAATCGTGACTTTTTTTGTGTGTATATAATCATTTAGACTTATAGAATCGCAAGTTGTCTGTATAATCATTTAGAAGAGGTAGCATGGGACTTGGCCTCAGAGTCAGGAAGATGTAGGTTCAAGTCTCACTTACGACATTTACCGACTTCCTGACCAGAGGCAAGTCACTTGACCTCTAAGTGCCCAGACAGCTCTCTGAAACTACTGCAAAGCAGTTTATAATAGCTGTTGGTAGGAGTGGTTTTACTGGGAGCTCCTTTACTACTTTCAGAGAGATGAACCCTTTTTGTGTTAAAAAGAAGGATTTAATAAATAAAAAATGAATCTGAGTTTTTATGCTGTTAACCCAAGATTATAGAAAATGGTATCTGTTTTCACAGTGGGGCTTGATGGAATACAACTACAAGTTTCTTAGTCCTTTTTTCATTTAAACTCTGTTTCTTGTTTACAATGAATGGCAATTATATTCTTTCCCAGCTGGAACTTGAAAATTCCCAGTTGCGAAATATAAATTTCTCTCTATCTGAGGCTCTTCATGCACAGTCACTGGCAACCATGATTTTGGAAGATGATGGTGTTTTGGGTAGTATTGAGACATCTTTTCAGAAGTTCCACGCTTTTTTGGATCTCCTTAAAGATGCTGGGTAGGTTACATGCTGTTTCTTTCCTTGGCTTAACTTTAGTTTTTGTAATTTTTATCACTTGTTTAAAGAAGTTTAAAGAAGCATGGACCTGGAAATCATTTGAGAATAATATTCAACTATTTGCAAATATAATGAACTGTTTTCTCCACTGGTATTTGTAAAGCTCCATCAAATTGAAAATCATATTGGATTACACTAAAAAATAAATGCACAGTGGTGAATTTATATTTCTGAAGGTTTAGGTAGAAAACACATTCATGCAAAAATAACCCTATGAAAGCAGTAACAGACAGGTGTGAGGTCAAGGTATAGCAAATAAAAGTGATAGCCATTCAACAATAGTTTATTAGGAGATTAGTCTCACAATTTGGACAACAACCCAAGAAAGTACAAGACGATAACTTCTGGTGAACGAGGTGGGAAAAGGATCCCATTTTGAGACCAAATATGAGACTCCATTTTAGTCAGTTTCTTTGCTCTGATCTGAGACATTTATATGCATCTATAATAACTATTGATTCTTCTCCTCACCCAATCTTTCTTCTAGACTTGGGCAGCTTGCCACAGTAGCTGGTATAAATCAGTCGGATTTTGATTTCCTAGATCATCCCCAGATGAACTCTACAATTAATGCTATACTTATAGAAGAAAAAAAGGGACTTGAAGAAAAGCCAGAACTTAATCAAAATACCCTAGGACAAATGCATAGTATGCAAGTAAGTGAAAGTGTACTAGGAGCAGGCACGCCACCTTCAAACTATGCCTTTTCTCTCTATTTCATTTTGCTATCATTCTACCTAATACAATAAAGAATCTCTTGATTTCATCATTTAGAATATTATTGAGAAGATCTGTTCAGTAACAGTAGGTTCATGATTTAACCTTCCAAATGTTGCCTTAGTGTTGAGGTCATTTTAGTACATTACAAGTAAATATTATTAAAATTATATTATTATCCATTATTCATTTCTTCATGTTATTTTTATTTAATACGTGTTAGACTATAATATAATTGGAAAGCTAGGTGGCACAATGGATAGAGTGCTGGGTTAGGTGTCAGCAAGACTCATCTTCTTGAGTTGAAATCTGACTTCAGACACTTACTAGCTCTGTGACCCTGGACAAGTCACTTAACCCTGTTTACCTCAGTTTCCTCATCTGCAAAATGAGAAGGAAATGGTAAAGCATTCCAGTATCTTTGTCAAGAAAACCCTGAAAGCAACTGAACAACAATAATAAAATAATGGTTTATATAATCACACTGTAAATTAATATGTTAATATTTGCTAGTATGCCTATTCTACAAGTCAAGTCAGCGAACATTTTTAGGTGCCTGCTATGTACCAAACACTGCTAAGCTCTGGGGAGGCGAAGAAAAACAAAAAAACAGCATCTGCTCTCAAGGAGTTTACCTAGTAAAGGAGACAACATACAAGCAAGTGTGTACAAACGATACAGAGTGAATGGGAGCTATGCAAGGGAAGGCACTGATATTAATATAAAGAGGGCTGGGAAAGGTTTCTTACATAAGATTGGAATTTAGTGGAGACTTGAATAAAGTCGATGAAGCCAAGAAGATGGAAATGAGAAGGGAGACAATTCCAGGAATAGGAGACTTCCAGTGAAAATACTCAGAGTTGAGAGATGGAATCTTATGCGAGGAATAGTAAGGAAGCCAGGGTCACTGAGTCTCCTGGGGTGGGCAGAGTGGGGAGAAGAGAGGTGTTAAATATGAGAAGACTAGAACAGTGAAAAGGTTATGAAGGGCTTTAAAAACCAAACAGGGGATTTTGTATTTGATCCTGGATGCAATAGGGAGCCATTGGAGTTGATTAAATGGGGAGTGACCTCAGCAGACTTGCAACTTAGTAAGATCATTTTGATAACCAGTGCAGAGGATGAACAGAACTAGAAGAGTCTTGAGGCAGGCAGACCAGCTAGCAAACTGTTGCTGTAGTCCTTGTGTGTGTGAGGTAACAAGGGTGAGGACCAGGGTCATGGCAGGGTTAGAAGAGGAAAAAGGGTGAGAAAAGAGAAGGCTGTATACAAGAGATAAGTTTCAAAAGTAGAAATGAGAAAGAAAGATTTAGCAACTGATTGGATGTGGGGAATAGAGGATGATGTGTAAGTTGAGGAGCCTAGAATCTTAGAGCTAGAAAACATGAAATTTAATATTATGCTTTATATTTATAAGCTGCTTTTATATATTGCTTTGCTTGTTTCTCACAACATAATAAGGTGTAGATAGTAGATTCATTTTATAAATGGGCAAAATGAGGTTCAAACTGAAAGGGGTCATCTATTCTGAAATGGAAATCCAAGAAAGGTTATGACTTGCCCAGAGTTACATGTTGTTCAGTTATTTCAGTCATTTTCTACTCTTGGTAACCCCTTTTGGGGTTTTCTTGGCAAAGATATAGGAGTGGTTTACCGTTTTTTTCTCCAGCTCATTTTACAGATGACAAAACTGAGGCAAACAGGGTTAAATGACTTGCCCAGGGTAACATAGTAGGTATCAAATCCCACATTTGAACCCAGGAAAGTGAGTCTTTCTGACTCCAGTCTCAGCACTGCATCTATTGCGCCACCTAGATGTACCTCCAGAGTTAGATAGCAGCTAGTATCACCTGAACTAGAATCCAGATAGTGCCTAGACCTGTGCTCTTTCTGCTGTACTACTGTTTTAAGAAGAGTTTTATTGTGAGGAAAATGCTTAATAATTCAGTTCTTTATAAAGAGAAAAAACAGAAATGGGTTTAAGTAATAGTAATAGTTTAGTTTGATCTAAAACAAAAGGTTAATAAGCATTGGCTTAGATTACCAATGGATTCTATGTCTACAGAAGTTTTCAAAGATGGAATATACATGGACTTTATCTAGGATGATTAAGACTTTGACATGCTTTGAAGTAAGAACTAAGCCACTTGACCTCTTAAGATTCTTTCCAGATCAATGATTAGTATATAGGTACTTTATAGATTTAACAAAATAAGAAAGTGATATTTTAACATAAGAAACCCTAAGAGCCTTTTGACAATTTGGCGTATACTAGTATAAACAAATTTTTTCAGGGAGGCAAAAAATAAGAAATCAGAATAAAAAGCACAGTAATACAAATTAGGTACTATGAATGAATGATCATAAGTCAAAAAGGCATTTTTTTAAAGGGTCTTATATAAGTAAATGTATGTATAGATATGTATTTCTAGGGGAAAAGATTGAGAGTCAGTTTTTAGTTATCCAGATTAATAAGAGAATACAGGCAGTTTTTTAAAATGAGCGCTCACTGACTTGATTGTTTTTTATGTATAAAGATGGCGATCTACATTGAGGTGACCCATAGGGACTTCCTTTCGCTAGTCCCCTGCTTTCTCTTCCCTCCCTGTTGTAGGCCCCTTTTGAAGCACACCCTGTTTATTAGTTTGGAACCTCATAACTTGTTTTTAAGTTTTCATCTGCCCTCCACATCCTTGAGACTTGGTAGGCAATGGGAAATGCCCTTAGCCATAGCTGAGTAATTGTTGAAGTTTCTCAGGACCAAGATAGGCCCCCAGTAGGAAAAATGACCCCCAGAACTTTGTGGGTAATCAGCAATTGAATTTTAAATGTCTTTTATATTTATTTATAAAGTCATAGTAGCCAGTAGAAATTTCAAACTATTGTTGTTAGGTGCTTTTGACTAATTTGAATTATACTTTTCAATTTCAGAAAGTTAGTGATGATATTAGAACTTCTTTGCCTCTTGACACCTTCCAATTTCCAGCTTCTACTCAGGAGGCCTTATCTTCTTCCAGAGAAGTTCATGGAATCAAGGGCACTGATCATCAGCAGGTTCCTCCTAAAGAATTTGTCCCTGCACCATCATCATCATTTTTAGCAAATGTTTTTGTTGAAGCTCAAGATCAAATAAAAGAAGAAGAATCTTCCAGAAATAGTAGAAGTTCCTCAGAGAAAAGTGCCAGAATGAGTGAACATACCTCAAAACACTCTTCAAAGAAACAGTCCGAAAGTTGTTCTCGTTCCTCTTCTGAGAGCCTAAGCCAGAAAAGCAAAAGACATGGAGAGCATACCCCTTTGGCTCATGAAAAATTCAAACATCTGGCTTCAAAAAGATACAGTCTTGCTAGGAAAGAGACAGGCGATGTGACAATAATATCCAAGACAGAGAAAAGTAAAAACAAAACATCAGAACATTCTAAGAGTGAAACAGTAGTATCTGATCTTGAAATTTCAGAAAGTATCCATTCTCTATCAAGCACATGACTCAGGTCTAGATATTTGAAATTATGTCTTGCCTTAAAAATTTCAATAAACTTGGAAGCATGGACCTGGAAATCATTTGAGAAACTCTGCTATACTTTATAATGATGAAATATTTGGTGTGTATGTTCTCCTTGAACAGGATTTTGTTACAGATACTCAAATCTCTAAAGGATCTTTGATTTCCTCAGCTTTCACAAATCTTTTATATATATATATATATATATTTTTTTTTCCACTCACATGTAAAAATTTTTAACATTTTTTTTTTAAATTTTGAGTTCCATATTCTCTCTTCCAGCCCTTCCCTGAGAAGGCAAGCAATTTGATATAGGTTGTGCATGTGCAGGCATGCAATACATATTTCCATTATTAGTCATGTTGTGAAAGAAAACACAGCTACACCCCCCCCCAAAAAAAAATAAACTTAAAAAAAGTATGCTTTGGTCTGTGTTCAGACTCCGTCAGTTCTTTCTCTGGAAGTGGATAGCATTTTTCATCATGAGTCTTTCAGAATCATAGATTCTTATCTTAGATCATTACTGTCCACAATGTTCTCCTGGTTCTACTCACTTCACTTTGCATCAGTTCATGTAAGTCTTTCCAGGTTTTTCTGAAAGTATCCTGTTTGTCATTTCTTATAGCATAATGGTATTTCATCATAATCATATATCACAACTTGTTCAGCCATTCCCCAATTACTGGGCATCCTGATTTCCAATTCTGTGCCACAACTGAAATAGCTACTATAAATATTTTTGTGGGCAAGTAGATGGTACAACAGATAGAGTGTTGGGCCTTAAGTCAGTAAGTTCTATTCTAGGCTCGGATACTTACTGGCTGTGTAACTCTAGGCAAGTCATTTAATCCTGTTTGCCTCAGTATCCTCATCTGTAAAATGAGCTGGAAAAGGAAATGGTAAACCACTCCAGTATCTTTGCCCAAAAAACTCCAAATGGGGTCACAGAATTTGACATGACACAAGACAATGGGTCCTTTCTTTTTGGATCTCTTTGGGATACAGACCTAGCAATGCTATTGCTGGGTCAAAGGGTATGCACAGTTTTATAGCCATTTGGGCATAGTTCCAAGTTGCCCTCTAGAAGGTTAATCAGTTCACAATAGTATCACAACAATCAGTGTCCCAGTTTTCCCACATCCCCTACAACATTTGTCATTTTCCTTTTTCATTGTATTAGCCAATGTCCTTAGGTATGAGGTAGTACCTCAGAGTTGTTTTAATTTGCATTTCTCTAATCAGTAGTTTTTGGGAGCATTTTTCATATGACTATAGATAGCTTTGATTTCTTTGACTGAGAACTTTCTTCAAATCCTTTAACCATTTATCAGTTGGGGAATGACTTGCATTCTTATAAATTTGACTCAGTTCTTTATATATTTGAGTAAAAAGGCTTTTATCAGAGAAGCTTGCTGTAAACATGTTTCCCGGTTTTCTGCTTTCCTTCTAAACTTGGCTGCATTGGTTTTGTTTGTGCAAACCCTTTTAATTTAATGTAATTTTTCCCTGTTTAGCCTTCTTTCTCTCTCTCTCTCTTTCTCTCTCTCCCTCTCTCTCTCTCTCTCTCTCTCTCTCTCTCTCTCTCTCTCTCTCTCTCTCTCTCTCTCTCTCTTCCCCTCCCTCCTTTCATTCTGTCTCTTCTGAAAAGTGTTTTGCTTCTGACTACTGCCTTCCCCAATCCTCCCTTCCTACCATTAGCCTTCCCATCCACTTTTCTTATCACCCTCCCTTCCTACTTCCCTGTAGGATAAGATAGATTTCTATCCCCAATTGTGTGTGTATGTTAGCCCCTCTTTGAGCCAATTCAAATGAAAGTAAGTTTGAAGCATTGCTTGCCACTCGCAATAGTACCACCCCCCAGCCCATTTTCATCTCCATTGCAAAAGCTCTTTCATGCCTTTTTTATGTGAGATAATTTACCCCATTCTACATCTCCCTTCCCCCTTCTTCCACTGCATAATTTATTTTTTTGGATAACATCCCATCATAGTCAACTCACATCTGTGCCCTCTATGTATACTTCTAACTGCCCTAATAATGATAAAGTTCTTAGGAATTAAAAGTGTCCTGTTCTTATTTAGGAGTATAAGCAGTTTAACCTTATTGAATCCCTTATTATTTCTCTTTCCTGTTTGCCTTTTAATGCTTTTCTTGAGTCTTGTATTTGAAAGTAAAATTTTCCATTCAGCTCGGGTCTTTTCACCAGGAATGCTCCGAAAGTCTTTCAGTATTTTACATTCTTGTTCTAGGATATCAGGGCAGGTTTTCCTTGACAATTTCTTGAAATAAAATGTCTAGATTCTTTTTGATCATTGCTTTTAGGTAGTCCAATAATTTCTAAGTTAGCTCTCAATCCAAGTCACTTGTTTTTGCAGTGAAATATTTCACATTTCTTCTATTTTTTATTCTTTTGATTTTATTTATCATTTCTTAGTGTTTCATGGAATTCCACTTGCCCAGTTCTGATTTTAAAGCAATTATTTTCTTTCTTTTTTTTTTCTCCTTTTTTTTTTGGTAAGGCAGTCGGGGTTAAGTGACTTGCCCAGGGTCACACAACTAGTAAGTGTCAAGTGTCTGAGGCTGGATTTGAACTCAGGTCCTCTGGACTCCAAGGCTGGAGCTCTATCCACTGCTCTTCCTAGCTACCCCCACTTATTTTCTTCATTGAGCTTTTGTACCTCTTTTTCCATTTGACCAGTTCTGCTTTTCAGTTCTGCTTTTCATCTGATTTTTGTGCCTTTTTTGCCATTTGGCCTATTTTGTTTTTTAAGGTGTTCATGATTTTCTTGCATCACTCTCACTTCTTTTCCCACTTTTTCTGCTACCTCTCTTACTTGATTTTTATTGATTTATTGATATTTTGATTTTTTTAATTATTTTTGAGTTTTTCCAGGGCCTGAGACCAATTCACATTTTTCTTTGAGGCGTTGCATGTAGTTGCTTTGATTTTGTTTTCCTTTGAGTTTGTGTTTTCCCTGTCACCATAGTAACTTTTTATTGTCAAGTTCTCTTTTTGTTGTTTGCTCATTTTTCCTGCCTATTTCTTGACTTTTAACTCTTGTTCAAGTTGGGCTGTGCTCCCAGGTGGAGGGGTTACTGTCTCAAGCTCAGGTTTTTCATGCTGCTGTTTTCAGAGCTAGTTCTGGGGGAAATGTAAGTTTTTAGTTCTTCTGAGGTGGCATGATCTAAGGAGAGGTGTAGTCATTGCTCTCCTGGCCTGTGCTCTGGTTTGTGAGAGACTACAAGTACTCTCTTCTGTCATGGAACTGTGAGGAGGGTCCCTGCTTCTGTTAGTGCTCATCTTCCAGGGCCAGCACAGGATCCCCTGTAATTTCCTTCCGGCCAGTTGTCCTACTCCTTTACTGTTGGTAAGCTGAGATCTCTGGAAAGTGGCTATCATGCTTCAGTTGTCCCCAAAGCATGCTTCTGGCTTGTTTGGGCACAGTCTGCATTGGCAAGGTCTGTACCAGACTGCAGTCCACTGTCACTCTAGTTTTGTTTGTAAAGCAATTGAAAGTATTAATGAACTTCAGGTATATTGAAAGCCTTTCTGCCTTTATGCAATTAGATCACCAGACTAGTATGTTGGATTCAATACTTTTTTTAATTCTTGGAAAATACTGAACTGACATTTGCATTCGGGTGTCAAAGCAGACTGCAGAGGGCCTATTCTTATGAATATTCCACATCAAGAATGCTACCAGTAGCCAGAACTATTAGACAGGGAAAGAGATAAGGCCTGAGCCTGTGACTTTTTATAGGAAACTCTCAGATAAGATAACTTCCTCTACTGCTGGCACCTTTTCTGAAATATATTGTTTTGGTTGCTTGTAATACCAAGAGGTTTTAAGTGACTTGTTCACGGTCACACACTTATTTTGTTTTCCTAGTCTTAATGGGGTTTTTTTGATCCTAGCTCTTTTTTTTTCATTATACCATGCTACCCTGAAAACTAGTGGAATTCAAAAGGTCAGAATAGTGGTGGTCCAGTTTGGGTACATGTAATGCGAAGTTAGAGTGTAGAGTATTATCTTATAGGTAATCAGGTATCCTTGAAGGATTTTAAACAGAGGAAGACATTAAAATGGTATTTTGGAAAGATTATTTTTGAAGCAATGTGTAGAATGGAATAGAGGAAGAAGAGAAAGGCTGACAATTATGAAAAGCCTTGGGTCCTATGTCATATGTGGATTAGTTGAAACCCTAGAGATGTTTAGCCTATAGAAGAAAAGAATCAGGGTAACATTATAATTGCCTTTGAGTATCGGAAGGAAAGAATAATTAGATTTATTTTGTTTGGTTCCAGAAAGTAGAACCAAGAGCAGTGGGTGGGAGATGCCAAGAGTACAATTTAGGTTTGATATGGGGCAGGGCGGGGAGAAGGGGGAAAATTTAAACTCTAAAAATAGAATGGGCTGCTTTGAGAACAAATGGGTTGGAGGCAGCTAGGTGGCGCAGTGGACAGAGCACCAACCCTGAAATCAGGAGAACCTGAGTTCAAATGCGGCCTCAGACCAAACACTTGACACTTACTAGCTGTGTGACCCTGGGCAAGTCACTTAACCCCAATTGCCTTTAAAAAGAGAAAGAGAGAGAGAGAGAGAGAGAGAGAGAGAGAGAGAGAGAGAGAGAGAGAGAGAGAGAGAGAACAGATGGGTTCCCCCTCCTTGGAGGTCTGTAAGCAGAGACTAGATGACCACTTAGGTATATTATAGAGGATAGTCCTTTCATGTATGCATTGGAACAAATGGAGGTCCTTTCCAGCTGTCATATTCTGGATGATTATTCCGCTACCAGTGACATTACAGTCTGGGGTCTGTCTCTTGTCAGTGGCATCTTGAAGTAGTAGATGTTTGTTTCCACCCTATTCTCTGCTATATTAACTTGAAAATCAATACAGTATTCTTGTTTCCTCCCTTCCAAAGCCTAGTACCTCTGAATTATTTTGTCAGTCTTAACTTTTTTTCTCTTTATTTTTTTAAAATTAATTTTTAAAAATAGATTTACTGATTTTTTTACATCATCCTAGCTTTCTCCGGTATTTCTCTCCCTATCCCTT